ATGGGCTGTGTCATTTGGAACACAGCAATCTAGTCAGTTTCCTACTGATGTTTGTAGATTCTTCGAGAAGTTAGTACAAGTTTTATAGCTTATCTATCTGGCCAGCAGGGGGTGGTGGGGATGATCACTAATACCATGAGTATAAAGTGAGTGAGAGGTTTCAGCTCAGTGTCTATTTTAATTTTCAAGGTCGTGTGCTTTAAACAAATACAGGAACATCAAAAGGCTGCCATTCTTACAGCCTTTCATTTCACAAGAATAAGATGGTTTTTGTTGGCTCATATTACTATTTTGTGCTAGACCATGAATTGTTTAGTTGGTGAGATAGTGATTTTTTTAAAACTTCAGGCTGCCTTTGTTACTGTAAGTAAGAGAAAGAAGTAGTCATCTCCTTCCATAAAGATTACAGCCTTAAAAACCTACTCAGTCTTGTCGGGTCTCTGTAAGTCGAAATTGGACGTGTCAGCAGTTGTGTTTGGGTGTGGTAATGAACAAATAGTAAGTTTTGTGTTTTCGTGAGTTTTTCCTCGATTGACAGTTATTCCTGATTTGATCAAAGCTAGACGCATTCATTTAGAGAAGCTTTTCTCCCCACAGCTCGTTGCGTTCTGTTTCTCATCATTTGGCTCATAACTGGAGGAAGGCATCACTTTTGGTTCTTGCCGAATCTTACTGCTGACGTGGGCTTCATTGACTCCTTCAGGCCTCTGTACACGCACGAATACAAAGGACCGAAAGCAGACTTAAAGAAAGATGAGAAATCTGAAGCCAAAAAGCAGCAGAAGTCTGACAGTGACGAGAAATCAGACAGCGAGAAAAAGGAAGATGAGGAAGGAAAAGTAGGCCCAGGGAATAATGGGACGGCAGGTTCGGGTGGAGAACGACACTCGGACACAGACAGTGATAGGAGGGAAGATGACCGATCCCAACACAGTAGTGGGAATGGGAATGATTTTGAAATGATCACAAAGGAGGAACTGGAACAGCAAACAGATGGGGATTGTGAAGAAGAGGAGGAGGAGGAGGAGGAAGAGGAAAACGATGACGGAGAAACAACTAAACCTTCACATGAAAAATCATAAACTTACATAATTTGGGGACTGAATAAGTGCAAGAGGTTGGATTTTCTATGTTGGCTGATCATCATAATGTACACATGGTGTTTGTAGCATCCTTTAAATCTTTTGCTGAAATGAATTTGATAGCCACACAGTTTTATTCAGCCCTTTATGTTACTATGCTACTATGACTGGTACAGTCTAAGGTCATTAAAAAACATGTTTTACCCATTTGATGATACTTTTACACTAAACTGATCTCATTCCTTTTGATAGTTATCAAAGGTACAGTTTCCACAATGACATTTAGATTATGGCATTTTTGATAGCTTTATGGCTTTTTACTGTTAGACTAATCAAAATACCTTTGAAAAGGATAAAAGAAAGATCAGCATTTCAGATTATGCGTAGTCATGTAGCCATTTCACTGTGTTTAGAATGGAATACTTATACTCATTGTTCTCTTGATCATTAAACATTTGTTTGGAATTTTATAAAATAACCAGGAAATTTCTTCTAAAATTCTGAGTAAGCAGGGTTCAAAAGCGTTTTGTGGAAATGGGTCAACTAGTAATAATGCAGCAGCACTGTTAGTTTAGCTACAAATTCTCCTTTTCCCACTTAGGAAATCCAAACTGGTTTGTACACCCGATTCAGAAAACACTGGTTGTCTCCAACAGAGAACAGAGCAGTGGGATGACACTTCCTCTCCTTCCCCAAGTCCTTGTCGTCACATAAAGTGTATTCTGTACATAATTTACAAATAAAACATCTTATTTTAATTGTTACTCATTAGACATTGTCTCAATACTTAAATTTGTGAAATTAAAACCATGTAAGGGTCTGTTTTTTAGAAGTGCAACTTTTCAATAACCCACAGAGCATCTGTGGTCAGTCTTTCTACAGCAGCTTCGGTTTTGTGCCAACATTCCATGCATTTGAATGAGTGAAAACGGATCCTTATTAAATAAGAGCAGACTGAAAGTAGCTGTTTGTATGCCTTAATGTTCATTTTGATTTATTTTAAATCTCTACATTCAGAAATGGAGTACTGTATTATCAGACCAGGAAGCACTGCTGTGAAAGATACTTACTGTTCTAAAATATCAATTTAAAATAAAGACCGTAAGAGAACCTCTGGACTCTTAATTGCTTTGAACTCGTTTTGCAGTTCAATTTTAGATCTTGTGTATCTTGGTTATTATTTTTTTTTAATCTTGCAAATATTATAGTGAGTGTTATAAGATCATTCCTTGGAGTTCTGAATTGATATAAGTGAGCAAAATTATTTTCTTCAGTCAACGTGCAAGTATTTTGTTTCGTTGTAGTTGAAGTGGGTGGTATCAGTCAGGTCTTATTTTCTTTAGGCTCTTTCCCATCAGTATTTTGGACTACAGGTGTTACATTTTTCTAATTGTGAAAAAATAACATTTTATGGAAATTAACATTAAATAACGACTTCATTGCTTCTTCTTAGTATTCCTTGTAAGTGGACAGCAATGTGGCTGTTCAATGCTAATGCAACTCTATCAAGGATATAATAAGACATCTCAAGACTTTTCCCCTTAGTAAATGTTTATTGATTTAAGTGACTGGGTTTTCCCCTGACATGTACAGAGCTCTGTTGCTTATTTCCACAGTTAAGACATGTATATTGATTGCTTCTGAGCTTAATCACCAGTAATAATACCTATTTTGAGTCTGAAAATGGTACCAGATATGTTTTTCATAAGTAAATGGCTTAGAAAACCTTTGCTATTCTAATACTGCCCACATACGTAGTATTTACCCTAACCCTTTATGGCATGGGCTGTGTCATTTGGAACACAGCAATCTAGTCAGTTTCCTACTGATGTTTGTAGATTCTTCGAGAAGTTAGTACAAGTTTTATAGCTTATCTGGCCAGCAGGGGGTGGTGGGGATGATCACTAATACCATGAGTATAAAGTGAGTGAGAGGTTTGAGCTCAGTGTCTATTTTAATATTCAAGGTCGTGTGCTTTAAACAAATACAGGAACATCAAAAGGTTGCCATTCTTACAGCCTTTCATTTCACAAGAATAAGATGGTTTTTGTTGGCTCATATTACTATTTTGTGCTAGAGCATGAATTGTTTAGTTGGTGAGATAGTGATTTTTTTAAAACTTCAGGCTGCCTTTGTTACTGTAAGTAGAAACATGAAGCTTTTGGATAATGTAGGACTTTTTGTGGAATTGGTGCAAATGATCTAACTAAGCAAGATTGGATTAACCAGAAGCTGAAGTCAAGATAATAAGACTAATCTATTTGAGATTATTAAAATCAGTGTATTCAAGAGAATGCCTTTTACTTTTCTCTTCCCCTAGGTTTTTACTTTAATTTTCAAACTCTCTAAGTCCTTTTCTAGAAGACTTTCATTGAAATAATTCATATTTAAGAGAATGTTATTCAGAAAGTAAATACTAACATACTTAAACTGAAATTATATAGTGTTGATGGATTTTGGTTAATTGTTGGCTATGGAAGAAATATCGATTGTCTTTGTAAATAGAACTTTTAAAACTAATTGCTAATTAGAACTGGAAAACGAGTACTTAATTATAAAGCTGTCTATATACTTACCTGATACACATTATAGAATTCATTATGAGTAATGATTGTATTCTTTCATTTGCTTTTGCTCGTTTCAGTATTTCATCTCTTACACATTCTTGCTTATTCCATTATTACTGAGCATTTTGCTCTGGGCCAGAATATTACTAACCACAGCCATCAATTTAAAAATAACAGACTTTCCTGGAGCAGCAAGTAAATTTCCAGATGTACTGGGTGTCTCTCATTAACCCTCCAGATCCCACTGTGGCCCACATGGTTCACCTAAACGGACCACAGCCGTGGGCTCCCATGACTCCCAGCGTCTTGGTCAGTTTGGTCAAGGACTGTCTTGTCCAAACATCTGAAGACCTTCAGGATGCTTATTCTTTTGGCTGACCCTCATTATTCACCACATCTCCCAAACTGCTCCCCTTCACCACTCTCAAAGTTACCACTCCCATCTCTCCTGCCTGGTAAAGGATGATGTCCGTTGTCTCCTAGTAGGCTTGAGTTCCCGAATCTACTGTGGTTCCCCGCCACAAAAGTCTAAAGATCACCTGCTACTAGAACCCAGACTGATAAAACAGGGGAAATCCCTGGGCAACTCTGATAGTGCAGACTGTTATGAGGAAATCCCTGGGCAACCCTGATAGTGCAGACTGATATGGGGAAATCCCTGGGCAACCCTGATAGTGCAGACTGATATGGGGAAATCCCTGGGCAACCCTGATAGTGCAGACTGATGGGCAATCCCTGGGCAACCCTGATAGTGTTGTCAGGTAGATAAATGTTCAGATCCACCCGTCACTGAGGAAGAAAGACAAGGCTGGCTGCTTCTGAGAAACTTGCAAAGGCTCAGAAACCCACGCAACAGCAGCGGGTTAGGGTCGTTTGTTTTTTTCCTCTCCTTTAATTCTAGTGAGGTGCTTACCTCTCTAACAGGACCTTGTCACCAAACAGAGGGATGTTACAGCCTTGCGAGCCGAGCCTAATAGTGATGGCTATTATCTCCTGTTCTGGTAGCTATGTGTGCTTTAGTTACAAAAGGAGATGGATTTAAATGTAATTTCTTTGATGACCCAAACCAGTGTCTGCAGCATTTAGTTGTGAGTTTCAGGGTAGATCCAAATTTACTCCACTTTTCCTAGTGAGGTGAAGTTTTCAACCTGAGAGAGGACATCTTTTCAATGGTTGTAGTTTTAGGTTGTCCCAAAGGATCATCTGTTCTATCGTTAGCATGACATAGAATGAAAGGGCAGGGGCACCTGGTGTCTCAGGTGAGATGAGCAGACTTGCTTGTATTCTTCATTTTCAGTGAGTACTTGGATCATTTGGACTTCTTTGTGCCATGGACCCCTTCTCAGAATGGTTGAAGTGCAGGAAATACATGAGGTTAAAAAGGAAATATTGAAGTACAAGTTTTCAAAATGTGTACATCTGTGATAGAGTAATATGTGTGTGCATTACATAACCAGATCTAGCAGGGGGTCTTTAGTTGTCATGATGTTGATGTAGCATAAACAATATTTTGAAATCTTTACAACTGTAATGTAATGAAAATATTTATTTTTTACAAAGTCACAGTTACTGTTAATACAACTGTGGATTGTTTGCCTTTATAATGGAAGGAAATACTTTCAGTTACAGCCTAGGGAAAATAAAGGTACCATTTTTTTTCCTATCCAAGTTCATGTGTCCTCTGAATTTTATCTGTTAATCCCTTAGCAGCGGGTAGATTCCAAGTTAAGAACCCCTGACCTAGCTAATCAGATCTGCCAGTATTTCACTTAAGACTGTAAGGCCACCAGCATGAAGCAGTGAACTAACAGGTCTGTGGGGCTGGCCCGTCCCAGCTACATAGACCCCCATCCCCAGAAGAATGCGCTACAGAGGACAGCACTGAAGACACAGCCCAAGGAGAGTGGCAGGTCTGAGACCCCAGACCACACGGGAGCAAACTAAGAGGGAAAGAGAGAGGACTGCTTCCTGGCTCACCAAGTCTCAAGGACAGCATTCCTGCTCAGAGCAGCCAGTGCATAGAGAGGACCATGGTACTGGCCCCACCATGAGACACGACGCCCCCTCGCTGACCCACAGTGCTAGGGGGGACAGCACTGGAGAGACTGCGGGTATTGTGCCTGGTCTGGCCCTCCCACGCCGGGAAGGCAGCTGAGCAGCAAGGGGAGCAATGCAATGAAGTCCCCGAGGGATCCCAAAAATAAGACAGGAATCAGTGGCCAGGGCGTGCCACTTCACCAGAT